ATTTAGAGTCTAGGACGAATGAATAAAATTCACATAAAAGCTATGGTGAATGTATAAGAAATTAGTTCTGTCAAAATCGTCTCTGAGATAATGTTTGTATCTCACTGTAAATATCCCGCAGGATTTCTCTTATTCTTTTGTTTGCCTTTTCACACCTTTCACTTCAGCTTTCTTCCTCTTGTTCCTCTTTTCTTTCCTTTCATGTTGTCGCTTTCTAGAAGCCCTTCGTCCCATTTCCTGAGCGGTTCCGCGTGGCGTGGTGTGGACCAGTGCCAGCTGGGGGACGCGGCGGGGACGGAAAGTGCGGGAGAGGTGGGGAGGGGTTAGAGAAAGGGTGAGCTCTGGAAGAGCGGGGGAGGGTGGCGACGGCAAGTGTGGGGATGAGGGCGGCAAGGACAGGAACGAGAGCGAAGGCCAGGCTTAGAACGGCGGGGTGAGGGCGGGGACAAGAACGAACAGAAGGCGGAGGTGTGGGCGGAGATGTGGGTGGAGGTGAGGGCGGAGGTGAGGACGGTGGTGGGGGCAGAGATAGGGGCGTATGTGAGGCCGGGGGTGAGGGTGGGAGTGAGAGTGGGGATGAGGACGGGGGTGAGGGCGAGGTGAGGGCGGGGGTGAGGGCGAGGGTAAGGGCGGAGGTGAGAGCGAGGTGAGGGCGGAGGTGACGGCAGAGGCGAGGGTGGTGGTGAGGGCGGGAGCGGGAATGGAGGCGAGATCAAGGGGTGAGGACAAGCGATGGTAAAGGCGGTGCGGGAGGATCGAGGCCAGGATGGAGGTGGCAGTGGATGAGACGATGGCCGAAGCATGGGCGTGGTGGGAAGCAGGTAAGAGGAGTGGGGGGCTGGGTAGGGGAGGGGAAAGTGCTGAGGCGAAGCAAGGAGGGAAGGGATGGAGCTATAGATCCAAATGAGAGGGGTGGAGTCGGAAACAGTGGCGAGGACGGTGGCACGGTGGGAGGAGGGTTTGAAGGCGGGGTTGGGATTAAGGCAGCGGCAGCAAACGCAGCGGAGGTCTGTGCCACGAGGCCGCAGGGTGGGCAGCCGGACTCCGGTTTCTTTCGTAAACGAATTGCTCTTTCCCGCAAAAAAATGGCTGGCCGTGAATCAATCATTTGTGGGCCAGTGAAGAGTGCTGCTTCTACTCTAGCCCGGTCAGAGCCCAGTGCCTTTGCCAGAAAATTTAGTTCCAACTTTAGTTCCTTATACGTGAATCGTGTTCTACATATGTTGCGCTGGAATAAGTACATTTTCTTAATCAGATAAATCATCGAAAAAATAAATGATTTTATTATTTACTCCGCCTAATAATAATCATTCACTGACGTATAATTTTAAAACCTACTCAAGAGCTTCCAGCATATTATAAAGCGTGCACTGTTCACTAACGAAATCATCTTCCTTATTTTTCTACCCCCTTATAAATAAAGCACCTCAACAACCCTGCGAAGGTATTAAAAAAATGTCCATTTTACATATAATTATCTCTTATATCTTAACTAAAAGGGAATTAAATCTCAAGAACGCCGTTTAATTTCGAATAAATACAAGCTTAAAACCGATCGGCACATGTTTTATTCGGGAGCATTTCTCCTAAAAATTAAAATGTAATCCAACTCACCGGAGAGGCAGAGTCTCCAATTACCATCCGCCTGTCCTCCTTCACTCAGTGTTCCGTCTCCACAAACGCCAGGGATCGGTTCTCGAGGGCGCGGGCTGAGCCGCGGGCTCCGCGAAGGGAAAGACACTCCGGAGGCGATGCCCGCTATTCAACATCGTTTCCGTTCCGTTCCGCTCGCTCTCCGAGAAATTCTGCCTCCCCTGCAGGTCACGGGGGGGGGGGAGGGGGAAGGGGCACTGGAGCTCGTTTTCTTCCCGGCGGCGCTGACGGGAGCGTCGACCGAAAATTGATAGGGAACTTGTTTCATCAGCGGCAGCCAATCAGAAGTCACTCGTCGACCGGAACCAATCAGACCGGCTCATTGTAATCGCGACGGCTGATGTTATTTCGTCGAATGTTCTGATCTGTTTCGAAGAAAGTTTCGTTCTGCGATTTTTTAACGAATTACAAATGTAACTTTTTTTAAACTTTCCAATGTATCGAGAAATTATTGATTTATTCCTTGCGGAAGAAGGTTGAAACACCAATACGGAGTTTTAGATTTGTGAACAAGAACGGAAAAATTCTTACATTACTGTAGATAAGATCACCAACATTTCTAAATGATACATCGTATCAAAACCAAGTTATTTTTCAAATTTACATTACTTATATTACCTTTAAGTATACTTTTATGCTCCCTATGATGCATTTTGTAATTTGAGAACAATCAGAAAATAAAAGAATGATGCAAGTAAATCGGCTAATATTTAAGATAAATTATTAACACTATTTATTTTCTTACATTAGGAGAATACCAACAACGTTGTTCTACAGTAATTTAATTGCAACGCCCTTTCAGAAAGTTAAATCTACTATTCAAATTTAAACATTTTGTTGAAGTGTCTATTACATTTCTACAAACTCTAAAGAACCGTTGTGCCTTGCTACAAAAAACAAAGTACTAGCTAATGCTTTAGTTCTTCTTTGAATAGTATTAAATGATAGGAAAATATATCTCTTTAGAAATAATCATCTATATTTCGACAGATCAAGATCAAAAGCATTTTCAGAGAACACTCAATTTTAAATCTGATAACAATGTACACGTAGTAAGGAAATGACGCAAAGCCTAATTATTGTAAATAGAAAAGAAATATACACATTAGAATCAAGCAAGACTTGCAAACTCTTCTGGGTTAATTCCGATACAGAGATGAATCGCTTTGAAAAAGAAAGTATTAACAGAATATCACTGAATGAGTTCCTTTCCTCGGTTAATTTTCTCCCCCTGAGATCGCGTAGCTCCGGTGTGTTGGCTTTTAACTAATTCAAGGTGTACTTGAGTGGCTGCTCTAGTATGTGCAGCGGTGATGAACGCATGTCAAAGTTCTCGAAACAGAACACGCTGCAACATGCAAGATACAAGGAGTCTGAAGTTACTTCTAAACGTTCCTTAGTTCCTCGCCGTTACCCGATGCTGCACCCCATCAGCAAAGTTCATAAACATGTTCCTAGATAGAACAGTCTTCAGAAAGACACTTATAATAGAAAATGATATTAAGGACATGCCATTTGCACAAATTCCAAACTTTTAACTAAGAAATAATGTTTTAATTACTAAGTCATGAAATTGATGGATTGCACATTTAATATATTTGGGAAAAGGATACATGTATCCGACGTCTGCTGGACATGGCGTTTATATACCCTAAAACTGGCATTTAAAAACACGGCAATAAAACTGATGTGAACAAAACAGATGAATGAATGAGGTCGAAACTGAAGGACAGAGCGAAGAAAAAGGAAATAAAAAAGAGTTCGCGAACTAATAAAACTAGGAGCCACACCAGAACATACTTTTTTGCATTATTTTTTAATTTGCAATTTTCGAAAAAAACAGAGATCGAAAATGAGACCCGCGTCATTCAATTATGCATTCTTTCTTTAATCTCTGGAAAACAATTGTTGTTTGAATTTGTTTATTTTTACGAATTTGTTTATAAATAGCATTCATTTAAAGCCCAAACTACGCGAAAACTACTCGTTTTTTCCCAAAATCTTTATAAGACATTTTTTAAAGAGTAAAAATTTTATAACAGATTTTCTAAAGCAAAAATCTTTATTTTCATTTTTGTAGTTTTGAACGGAATGTTCGAAAAATTGGATTGTTTACGGAAAGTTGGACAAAAATATTCTCTATATAGTGTCATTTTAGTGAAAAAATTGTTTTTAAAATTTTAAAAGTTACCTACATTTCTCGCAAAACTCGCAAGAACTCCTATTTTCAAAAAATTGTACACGACCTATTTTCAAAATCTGTCTTTAAGGAACAGATTTCATAAAGAAAAAATTATAATCTTCAACATTATAGTTGTAGGAAGACGCCCAAAAACTTGCACTTTTGCAACTTTCGAAAAATCTGGGATTTCAACAAACATGAGACCACTCTCTTAAGCATCCTTTGCGGTATACGGGGACAAAGTTTAATCAAAACATTTGTAGATTTTTTTGTGAAAATTGTGAAAGTGTTTTTGAGGCTTCAAGTATCGAAAACATCCAAATATCCAAATTCAAATATCCGTTTGAAACTCCCAAAACTTCGAGTTCATACTGATCAGTCTAGGAATATCAATTTGAGAGAAAATTAGCTGAGCGAGATTTACGTTAACCACATACGGACGGACAGTCGGTTTTGCCGTCAATCGATTTTTCAATATCAAGGACAAACAAAAAATTGATTTAGGATACACCACGCATTAAAGGAAGTAATTTACTGTATATTAAAACACGATTTACCACATTTTTCATTACCAGGGGCCGCCAATAAGAGAATTTCTGCCCACGGTTTTCAGCCCACGATTACATAATTTTCTGTTCTAACGAAGAACCTTCGTATGCACAAGATAGAAAAATATACGACAAACAAACGTACGAACGAACAATTAATTAATTAGTTGAATAAATCAATGAAGTTAAAAAAATGTGTGAAGTAATAAATTAGTGAGTGACCTGAACGAAACAGATGAATGAATGACGCCGGGACCGGAGGACAGAATGAAGGTGTGGCGTCTTTGCCGGGACAATAAATTACAGACGTGAACGGTTTGTAAATATTAAGTTTAATTTTCTATTCTAACAAAAGACCTTCATATGAACGAAAAAGTAAAAATATACGACAAACAAACGTACGAATGAACAATTAATTGATTGGTTGAATGAATCAATGAAGTTAAAAAATGTGTGAAGTAATAAATTAGTGAGTGACGTGAACGAAACAGATGCATGAATGACGCCGGGTCCGGAGGGCAGAATGAAGAGCAAGGGCAAGGGCAAAGGGCCTGAAAGATGGAGTTGGCGAGCGGGCGAGCGAGCGAGCACTCACCGGAGAGGCTGGGGCCCAGCACGGAGGCGAGCTGCGGCGCGTCCTCCTGCAGCTCGTACTCGACGCTGTTGCGCCGGTACACGTTGAAGAGCCAGGCGGCGCAGCGCAGGTGCAGGCGCGAGTCCAGGAACATGGCGCTGCCCACCTCCAGGTCCAGCGACGACACCGCCATCTCCAGCGCGCCCACCACCACGCTCGCCGCCC